CCGCACATGTGCCAGAAGTAGACAGGCAGCGTGTAAACCCTATCCAACCGTCACATCCAGCGTTCGACACGGAGTTTTGAGTTCGTCGGCTCCCAGGCCGACTGTTCTCCGGTCAGTCGGCTGGGACTTGAACCGGTCGGCTTCTCTCACTAAAACAATTCAGAAAGACCCCGGTTCAGTCGGCCGAGGGACAATTCCGTTGCCTGGTGTGACGGCTCGTGTCGAACACTGCCGTTGTCATTGGATTTGCCAAGAATCTTGCGCGTGCGCGCACTCTGACAAGTTTCTGCAAGTTGCACGAGCTTGCAACCGTCTTTTGCAGGGCCCACATCATGGCGACATGTGGTGCGACGGTGACCGTCAGACGGTCAGGTGCTCGCCAGCTGGAGGTTGCACCGGTGCGAGGGGCACCGTCCCTGTACCTAGTACCTACCGTACGAGCGCCAGAACCGAATCGGGTCGAGAAGTGGATCGGTTTATTTGTTATCTTGATTCTTGTTGCAGTCTACGCGGATCGCCGATCCATCAAGTTTGCTTGCCCTTTTAGGCCAAAGTCTAAGGTTTTCAGACCTGCAATGACCTCCTCAGGGCAAAATCGAAATGCGACTGCCGCCCTCGATGGGGTTCAGAAAGACAGGATATGTGCAGATTCTGAAATGGCCCATATTTGGTTCCAGCATTGCAGATCAGCGCTCAGAAAGTAAGGTGAGCCGGTATAGGGTCTCGTACGGTACCGGTTTCAACTTTCAACCTTCGGTCAGATTGCCAGTTGCACTTTTTGAAAGGAAAAGCCGAAAGAGTTGGGCGGCCAGGTCAGCGCTGAGCGCAGGAGGGGTCCCTTTTGCTTTCTGCCATGCTGTTTTAGGCCCCGCAATAGGGACGATGGAGAACCGTCCCCATTCCTGCACATACTGAACGGTGACCAGTACTGCATTACATTGCTGAAGCACGCAATCAGCACGCTTTTTGCTGCGCTGCAGGCTGTCGTTTGGCACGCACCAGAATCTATTCTCCGGATCGTATTGACTCGGACGCCAGGCGATAGGATCAACACCACACGAGCAAAAGATATCATGGTCTCTTCCTTTCATGCTTTGGCATCGGAGGGGTCACAAAATGGGAAAGCGAACATAAGTAGGATTCACAGGCGAAGATGCTCACAAGGTAGCGTGAGCCTTGACTCTTGAATACATACCAATGCCATAGACCAGGGGTCAGTAATGGAAGACAAAGTCTGAATACAGGGCCAGGGCTGCCTGGCTCCTATAGCTGAATGCTTCTTCATTGGGAGTGGATGCAAGCTGGTCAACAATACCAAGTAAGGAAAGTCCGAATTTCTGCTCCTTTGAAGAGCCTGCAACGTCAACCGGTGTTCATCGGAGAGACCCTGCAAACATGGAAGCCCCTAACGGCTAAGAGCTGAGCACACTGGGAAGGACTCCATAGTGATGGCTGCCACTTTGGGGGATCGCCGCCCTGCCCTCTCCTTCCCTCTTTGGAGAGGGAAGGGCAAGGGCTCGGGGAACGAGGATACATCTGGACACCCAGGTTTTGTACCCCAGGAGACTGGAGAGAATCCTGTTGACAGCAATGTGAGCGGGTGGCCTGCTTGGGTACCTACTTGCCCTATTGACTGCACTTCGCCCCTTCTCAGGCACACCTTATTGGAGTCCTGTGCCTCTTGGAGTGGCCTAGTTTGATTGCTGTCGTAATCTCCCGCAGCTTTAGGTGTTGACACTCGAAACATATCTTGTGGAAGTCAGTGAGAGGTTGTTAGGTTGCTCAGGAGCTCAGCAGACCGAAGAATGAGCTCATCTGGCTGCTCGGGCAGCCAGCAGGCTTGCTTGTGTTGCACATTCTTGCAATTAATATTCTGGGGATTTTATTTTCTACGTTCAGCAATGCATTGCGACAGGCAATCATGTATTGATTGCAATGTTCATTTTACGGACCGGCAGTCTGATCTGATCAGGTAGGCAGGATGTTCACATGGTTGCAACTTCTAGCTATAACCTGTGCACAGCTGAATAGCTCCTCATCAGCATTTTGTCAACGTGCTTTCTGCTAGCGGGTATGGGAGGCATCACGTGCAGCTCAGCATTCCTGGGGCCTTGCAGGACTTGCAGGGCCTCTCCAAAAGAGGTTTCCTCTGGCAACGATTCTATCACAAGAAGGCATACAGGGCCCTGCTCTTGGTCTGGCTGGTCTCCGGGCTGGCCGCTGCAGTCGCAGTCTTCACTTTGCTCTATTCAAGGGGCAAGGGCTTCCGTAAGGACAACTTTGTTCTTGAGTGCGAAAATCGAGCACAGGTAAGTGTATGCCAATGAGACCAGGTTGAGATATCAGCATATGGCATCAGTGCTGACATCCTCAAAATACAATGTGAATTTAGGCACTGCAGCTTTCAACCAGATTCCTGTTTTGCGTCAGCTGGTAGACACTTATCGGCAGGTGTTGACAGTGGGGGTTCGCACGTGTGGCAATCCTCGTCAGTTCCTCATTTCAGATTGTTGCTCAGTACAAATCGTGATCTTCAGAAGCTCTAAGCGAGGCGAAATACTCAGGCATCAGCTGTCCTGGTCGGGGCCCTCCTGAGTCCGGCACGAAGGAAGATCACAAGCATTTGAGCCACAGATTTAAGCCTGCCCTATTGCAGTTCCACAATTTGGCGTGGTAGCAAACACCTCAACTGCGTGGCATTCTTCTTGCTGACCTTGATCATATGGAGTGAGTGGATGCAAGAAACAAGGTCGCAAAAGTTTCTGCTTCTTGCCTTAGCTGACACTCCCGCTTGTGATCCAGGTGCTTGAGTCCCAGTTTGTGTGCAACTTCAATGCAGCGGGGGTTTACACGGGCCTCATCATAGAGTTGCCCAATGCAACCCAGGCTCAGTTTGAAGGTTTTTCAAACGTCACCACGTTCACGCGCCCCCGTACAGTGTCTGTTGTTTATCTAAGGAGAGTGCTGGCAAAGGACCGAGCAGCATATGAGGCACAGACTGGCCGGTGAGTCATTGTCTTCATGTAGAGGCTTGTTTGCAATATCTTCCGTTCATTTTGACACACTCGTGTCTTTCATGGATACGGATGCACACAAAGAAACAAAGTAAAGATTCTTGGTTTGCATGGATATCAAGCGCCATGCAGAAAAATTTGGACTCCATTTGTGTCTTGCCAAATACGTGCCTAATTCAGAAGCAGAAACGTGCTTTGACAGAACAGATGCATGCTTTTCCCCCCTGAGGCCCTGAAGTATGCTGACTTTGAAAGCTTATAAAGGCTTCCCAGCAAAGGGCTCACCTCTGGAAGCATTGTCGCTGCCTCTCTGCCAACACGTTCTCAGCTTGCAACCTGGTACTGCAGAACACAGTCTGCAAATCATCCTTCGACATGAAGGCGGAACCAAAGCCTTCAAAAACAACTGCGGTTGCTGCATTCCTATCAAGCAAGCATGCTACTGGTTGGACCACTGAAATGGGACAATTGTTAAGCCCTGTGCTTTTGCTATTTACAGTCCGTATGTCAGCAAAGCAGCCGACCTGTTTCTGTATCTTGTTGCAGCCCTATCCTGGTTTGGGACATCCTTCCTGACAACCTGACCGTCACATTTTCGCCTGCGCCTGCATACCCTGAGGAGTACACTCCGGTGCACCTAGTGTCAACGCCCGTAAACGTGAAATACTTGGGGTTTGATTCATTGTCAGACCCTACGCTTGGTGCTGCAGTCGCGCAGGTGAATACCAGCGCCAATCATGCCTGCTTCCAACGATTTTTTTTCTACATAACCGATTGACCAAGGTTGGACCATGCTTTGGAAGGGAGTTCAACTTCCTTCAGCGACCTGGAGCAGTTCCGTTGCGACTCAGAAAGGTCATCAGGTTTTTGTGAATAAAGTCAGCTTGTAGACAATGACAGGTTGTTCTGTATCCGAGCTAGTGTGAGAATCTCCGCTGCAGTTTGCACTTGGAGTGTTTCGAAATAGAACCTTTCGCTGTATTTGTTTACAATCCCTGGTGAAGGACCAGCCAATCCGTTGATATTCTTCGCGGTCCACAAAATCACCACAGGTTGGCTTACGGTCTTGGTTTCTGCTCTTCGAAAAATCAGAGTTGCTAGCGTTTGCAGCGCATCCTTTGAAATGTCGGAGGAATCATGATTTGAGTGATTCATTCTGTGCCACAAGCAGATACTCTTTTTGTCCGACCGGCAGGCTTGAAAAAAGCGTCACACGGTATTTAAGGTTTCAGGGAACAGAGTTCCAACACCTTTTTCAACCCCAGACCAAAAGCCAAAGCGCAAAATAGCCCGCAACCCTGACATAGCTGCCATTTCCTTCAGGCACGCGACGGCGGCTGCCTGTCAATCACCAAGCCCAGCTCGTTGGCCGCCATCCGGAGAGTGACCGGCTACTACCCTGTTTACACCAAGGGCTTCAAACCTTTTTTGGCTAGTGTGACCCAGCGCCGGGCGGCGTGCACCGGCTTCGTGGGGGCAACCTTCAACCTCTACACGCTCTTTCAGGAAGCGCTACAGCCATACCGGGAGCATGAGGGCGACTCCCTTGACATGTGAGCCAAGCCGTCCGCAAAATCTGCACGAGCGAAACAAAAACGAGCCGGCAACTTGCGTTAGAGCGCAAGGGTTGTGTAGGAAGTCGTAGTGGACTACTGTTCTCGTCCACCGACGGAGACATCGGCCAAGGGGACTTAGCGACGGCCGTCAGCATGTTTCAACCCTCCATCGTTTCGATCCTCCGCTCTTTCTCCTCCTCTTCTTGTTGTTTTATTTCTTCCCACTCAATCCTTTCTCACCCGCTTTTTTGCGTATCTTGCAGTTACGGCTTTGACGTCACCAACGGCGCGGCGCCCATATTCCTCTACGGCAACCGCATCCACGAGCTGAACGACACCGCGGTGGCCGCGCTGCTTCCTTCCAAGTACGACCACTCGACGCGCTTCAACGTGGGGAACAACACTTACGAGATTCGGTGCAAGAACCCGTCCAACATGGCGCTGGACGCCGCCGAAAACGCGGTCACGTGGCTCGCGCTGATCCTGGTCATAGTCGTACTGAGCAGCATCGTGATGCACGTGCAGGTGAGCCGCCTCTTTTTGCTGGCTTCTCTGCCAACCGTTGTTTGTCTGCGTCATTATTGATGACAATTGCGCTGCGTTGTTTTATTTATTTGGGCCAACCGGGAAGCTTAGGGAGAGGCTTGCTGTGCAAAGCCTTACACTTCCCATGTCCCAGAAAAAGGTCGAAGCATTGATCGAACCAGCTTGCTGCCTGAACTTTCAAGGAGACTTTCCCTTTTCTGTGGCGTTGAGCCGCTCCGTTTCTTCATCTTTCGCGTTGACAATTGGAAGGACTGTTTCGCATCCGGTAGCGTCAGATTGTACCGTCTTTGAAGAAAGACAAGCACCTTGCAGGGTCTCCTTCTGCGCTCCTTTTACCATACCAAAGCGTTGTTGGCACTCCGAATTCGCAACATAAAGTTGCGTAGTTTGCGCCAACACCCCATCTTGGTCTGTCCTGCACTTCAAACACTCAAAGTCTTTTAGAAGCTCTGACATGGTTTCATCCGATCTTTGTCTCATCGTCCCGTTTTCTGTGTCCAGTTCAAGCGAATGGAGGCGGTGGAAGCGGACATACGTAAGATGAGCCGCCTCAATCTGGAGCTGACCAAAGCCAAACTGGCCGCCGAGGCTGCGGACAGGTGCGGACGAATGTGGCCTCCGTGCAGAGACTCGTTGCCTCCGTGGCACGCTCCGGTGCCTCTGTAGAGACCAGCAGCTCTTCATATGTGTACGCACGTTACCTGTCCGCACGTCTGACTGCTTAATGCTGATGCAGTTTCAAATTAAGCTGATATCTGGGTGTTGAGGTACTGAAGATACTGAAGTGACCGCTAATGCTTTTGCTGTGCAGGGCCAAGACGCAGTTCGTGTCGACTGTGTCGCACGAGATCAGGACGCCGGTAAGGCATCTTTGTAGGCACTCAGGCTCGACTCGCTAGGAACTCACAGCGCAACTTTTGCTTGCTCGAGAAAGTCAGTCTTCTGCTGAACAAGCGTAAATCCCAGCTCAAAGTTTTTGAATCCAAAAGCCTGAGGACAGTACTGATAGCCCTCTGCTGACTCTGTTGGACTGCTCAGAATGCTACTGTAGACCATGTGGTTCGTCGATCGTCCTTGGGTACGGGGGTTCTTGCGACAATACAGAAGTAGAGCAATCATCAAAGCGATTCACGCTCTTGCATATATCTGAAAAGGGTGCGACGGGCTGAGCGTTGCCTATTTTGGACCTTGCGGTTCACCTCCCCTTGTACTGGCTCGACACCAGCACCGCTCAGCAGTATCTGTTCCATTCTGACACTTGCTTTCCGCCGCCGCAGATGAACGGCATGATCGGAATGACAAATTTGCTGCTCTCGACCGACCTAGACCCCCAGCAACTAGACTACGTCAAGACCGCGCACGCCAGCGGGAATGCGCTCGTCCAAATCGTGTCGGACGTGCTGGACCTGTCCAGAATCGAGGCTGGCAAGATGGACCTGGAAGAAGTCATTTTCGACATCCGGGCCGAGGTGAGGGGCACAAAAAGATAGAAAGAATCTGCTGTTGAATACAGGCGACTCAGCAGAAGGAAGAAACGTTCATCTAGCCTGATTGCAGGATAAGGAGAGCGCTGAGCGTGGCGTTCCTGATGTTTCGGCAGGGCTTGGTTGGCGTTGCACTGAGTTTTTACATACATTGAAGGGCAACCTGAGCACGAGAAAGCGAGGCTTAACGGCTCGATTCCTCGAAGCCTTTTCTTCTGGGCGCATCGTACAAGAGCCTTTGTATTCTTACTTCAGATCTTTTTTTCCCAGAAGCCTTGTCGCTCTGACCGTCTTTTGAGTCTCTATCAATCCTAACCGCTCTACTGCAGCTGCCCGTCTGCCACGCATCTGCTTGTGAACGTGCTCTGCGACCATCACCCTCGAGCGATCTTCAGACCTTAGCCTTTGAGCTTTTTAACCGTTCAAAAAGCCTTGAAGCTCAGAGCTTCTTTTCTTTGCCGGTCCGCAGTTGGACGACATACTGGGCCTCTTCGAGGACAAGGCGCGGCAGCGGCAGCTGGAGCTGGGAGGCCTTGTTCTGGACGAGGTGCCCCCACGTCTAGTTGGCGATCTCGGGCGCATCCGCCAAGTGCTCATCAACCTCGTCGGCAACGCGGTGAGGAACAGGGCCCGCCCTTTGACTATTCGTTTTCGCACCAGAGCGTGCAAGGACGTGATGTGATGATAGAACCTTTGGAAAAAAGGACGAGAAGGGGTTTATGGAGATGGCCTGCAATGTGGGCAGTTCAGTTAGAGACGGCCACGCTTGAGGCTCAGTTCTGTCTTCTGAGAGGCTGTTTGCGCGCAGACACCGTTCATCTTGAGGTCTTTGAAGCGAGACCTGCGGTCGTGTGAAAGCCGTTGTTCGGACACATCTTGCACGGCCAGATCCACGGTGTCAAGAATATACGGTACGAAGCTGTAAGGGCATTTGGCAACCTGCCTTCAGCTGGTTCTCTTAACCACTTTATAAAGTAGAAACGCTATCTGCCTTGCATGTTTTTGAAGACGTAGACTTCTTCCTCCAGGTCAAGTTCACCAAGGGCGGGAGCGTCTTCGTCTGCATCCAAGTGCAGCCGCAGCCGAGCGGCCGCGGCTCACTCTCCTCCCCTCCGCTCGACCCCCCGTCAAACACCCCCCCCGGATCGCCAAAAGCGTCTTCCTGGGGAGGCAGCTTCGGTTCGGGGGGCCCAGCCACCGATGGCAACGACTTCGACTGCAGCGTTTCTCACGTTAGCCAAGGGACGTTTCTCGCGGAGCGGGGACTGTTCCTCAACCTCAGCCCCCCCAGCACCGCGGCCTGGCAGACCGGGGCTGACGTCAGCGCCGTCAGCGCGCGCGCGTGCGAGTGCGCGGACGCGGTGCGGCTCGTGATGACGGTGGAAGACACCGGGATCGGCATCCCCCCCCGGCGCCAGGCGCGGCTCTTCCAGCCGTTCTTCCGAGGCGACAGCGGCACGTGCCCGGGGAGTACGGCGGCGAGCGGC